TTAAACCATTTTTTATGTCTCTTCTTTTTTTTGTGGTGGGGGGGCAGGACATGGCTGAGCCCAGCTCTGGGGAGAGGGATACAGTGGGTGTTGTGTGTCTGGTTGTGGGGGGTCTCCACCCCCAGGGGCCAGGAGCCACTCCAACTGCCAGTTGGGTTGACCCACATCTGGCACCCCCTGGGGGTCCTCATTGGCCACTGCACGGTGACCCCTCAAGACTTCCCCCATCCCCCCAGGCCGCTTCAGCCCCCACCATGGGGATTGCAGTGGGTCTATTGCCCCCTCCCAGTTTTGCCCCTTGGTCACTGCAGGCTGCAATTGGGTAGGTTCATGCCTGATCCCCAATGGCTACTGCAGGGTGCCTGCCCTGGCCACCCACCCCCATGATGATTGCAATGGCTCTTGTGCCCCCTAGTGGTGCCCCTTGATCACTGCAGGCTGAAATTGGGTAGATTCATGCCCAGAGCCCCATGAGGTTCCCTGTTGGCTACTGCATGATGCCCACCCCCTGAGAGCCCCTCTGCCCCCCCCCACCGCTTACCCATGGGGGCTGCAATGGGTCTAGTGCCATCAAGTATTGCCTCTTACCCACGCCCCCTCAGACCTCTCTGGCCCAGTGCACCCTCGTGCACCCCTCACACCAGACCTGGTCAGTCCCCCTCCCTGTCGTGGGTGCCCCCCCCCAGCCTTTTCACAGGGTGAAAAGTGGGTTGTCGGCATGTTGGCTGTGGCAGTTGGAGAGCATAGTGTGCATGCAGGTGTATTGGCTGTGGTGTGTTCTGCATGTGTGTGCAGGGATGTGATGTGCATGTGAGGTTTTTGTGCATGGGTGTGCGTGTGCTGGGTAGATGCATATAGTGAGGTGTGTTGGGCCATCTAGTCTGTGTAACGTGTTATGCGTGAGCTGTACATAGTTTGTGTTACCTGTGTGGCTGTGTGTATGGGGGTATTATGTAGGTGTCTGAATGAGGTGGGAGTTGTGTGGGTGTGACATCTGTGTGTGGGAGGGCGGGGTGTGTGTGTGTGTGTATGGAGGGGATGTGTGTATGTGGAGGAGGGTGTTTGTGTGTTGCCTGTGTGTGTGTTCGCACACACTATGTATTCTATATTGTATGTGGTGCTTGAGGAGTGTGTGTATACACATCCACACACACCATACAGAATACATAGCATGCGCACACTTCATACAGCATAGCACACATGCATACACAGTACCTTCCCTGTGTGTGTATGTGTAGTGTGGTATGTATTCTGTATGATGTGTGTGTGGTGCTTGTGGGGTGCTTGCACCCCCCCGCAACGCAGTGTGCTGTTTGTGGGGGGGGGGCAATCCCCCCAGGGTCTGTCCCCCCCCACTCCTTCATCCTCTTGCCTCAGCCACCCTTCCCGCCCTGCCCCCCCCACAGCAGGGGGCACTGGGCCAGGGGCAAAGAACTCTGAGCCTGTGATATCAGAGTGTGATGTCACCAACAGGGGACGCTGTAACCTGTGACATCAGCCAGCTGCCTGCTTTCACAGCTGTGATATCACTGATGCTGCTACCATAGCTGTGACATCACTGCTTGAGATGGTGTTGTGACTGTGACATCACCAATGATGCTACCCTGGCTGGTGACATCATGGCCCGAGGTGGTGTCTAGTTGCAGGGCTGTGACATCACTCCTCAAGGTGGTGCCATGACTGTGACATCACCAATGATGCTGGGCCTACAACTGTGTGATGTCAGAGTGTATAAGGCAGCTTCATCCTGTCAACAATGATCAAATACCAGGGGGGATGATGTCAGCTAATGCAATATGGTCACAGCTGTGATGTCAGCGGGTGGAAGGAGGAGAGAACACCCCACCATTATGATGTTACAGCTTACAACACCCCCGTTACCGTGACATCACCAGGTCAGCCCCAATCTGACACCTGGGATGTGGCAGAGACATCATGAAGGTGATGTCACAGGCTGCGGCTCTGTTGTCAGAGGCACCAGCCCAATGACATCATAGAGCGGGGGGAGGGGAATGAGACAATTCACCCAGGGTGATGTCACAGGCCTCTGCTGCTCACCATGACCTCCGAATGCTGTCTTGTGATGGCAGAGGTGTGCAGCCCCACCTCCTCCTCACACGAGCCCTACAGTGGCCCCCTTCTCTGCCCCCCCAACCCCTCTGTCCAAGCAGCGAATGGGACCCAGGCGTCCTGCGCCTGGGCACAGCAATTGCATAGATTTCCAGGTCCCGGCCTACGTACAGCACCAAGCGCGGGGTGGGGGGAAATAGAGGCACACAGCCCCTGGCTGGCTACTGCCTCCCCATCCCCTGTGGCACATTGCGGTCATCCTTGTCCAGACCTGGCCTCTCAATGACAGGGAGTATCTGTTTTCAACCCCTCCAACATCTCTCCAGTCAGCAACAAATTCAGCTCCAGGATCCAGCCAATGAGGGGGGTTCTCAGCCCCAAAACAAGGGAAAACCAGTACTATTTTCAACCGTCAACAAAATGTCACCCCACTGGAGGAGATTTTCAGTCCAATTTTCAGCCATTGAGGGGAATTTTGAAAAATGATGCCATTTTCAAACGAAGCAAGGAAAAAGGTGCCATTTTCAACCCCTCCAAGATGTCTCTGACCCGTGACATATTTGGCTCTGAGATTCAGCCAATGACAGATTTGCAACCTCAAAACTGGCTAAAACCAGTGCCATTTTTAACCCCAGATCACCGGAAAAAGACACTGTTTTCAGCCCCTCCAAGATCTCTCCAACCCATGACACATTTAGCTCCAAGCTCCAGCCCATGAGAGGGATTTTCAGGTGCAAAGTGGGATCAACCAATGCAATTTTCAACCCCAGATCATGGGAAAAAATGCTATCTTCAACCCTTTCAAGATCTCGCCAACCTGCAACAAATTCGGCTCCAAGATCCAGCCAAAGAGGGGGGTCCTCAGCCCCAAAATGGGGTCAAACCAGCGCCATTTTCAACCACCAAGAAAATGTCACCATTGAAGAGGGTTTTTCAGTCCAATTTTTAGCCAATGGGGGGATTCACTGCTCAAATCATGGGAAACCAATGGTATTTTCAACCCTCTAAAAATCTCTCTGACCTGTGACATGTTCAGCTCCAGGATCCAGCCAATGAGTGGGATTTTCAAGTGCAAAGTAGGATCAACCAATGCCATTTTCAACCCCACATCATGGGAAAAAATGCGATTTTCAACTCCTCCAAGATTTCTCTGACCCGCAACAGGTTTGGCTCTGAGATCCGGCCAATGAGGGGGGTCCTCAGTCTCAAAACAGAAAAACCAGTGCCATTTTCAACCCCCTACAAAATGTCATGGTTGGAGGGGATTTTCAATCCAATTTTCTGTCAATGAAGGGAATTTTTGGCTCAAATGGGGGAAAACCAATGCCATTTTCCAACCCAGAGCAATGAAAATTACACCATTTTTAACCCCTCCAAGATCTCTCTGACACACAACATGTTTGGCACCATGATCCAGCCCACAAGAGTGATTTTGATTCGCAAAGTGTGATCAACCAATGCAATTTTCAACCCCAGATCACAGAAAAAAAATGCTGTTTTCAACCCCTTTAAGATCTCTCCAATTAGCGGCCCATTTGGCTCTGAGATCTGGCCAATGAGGGGGGGGTTCTCAGCCCCAAAACCAGTAAAACCAGTGCCATTTTCAACCCCCTATGAAAACAGCATCCTATTGAAGGGGATTTTTCAGCCCAATTTTCAGCTAATGACGGGAAATTCTGACTGAAATGGGGAAAAAACAATACCATTTTCAAAAATGGAGCAAGGAAAAAGATGCCATTTTCAACCTCTCCAAGATCTCTTGAAACTGTGAGACATTCAACTCCAAGATCCAACCAGTAAGGGGGATCTGGAGACCCCAAACTGGGCAAAACCACTGCCATTTTCAGCCCCAGATCATGGGGAAAAGATGCCATTTTCAGTCCCTCCAAGATCTCTCCAACCCATAACATGTTTGGCTCTGAGAAAATGGAAAAACCAATGCTATTTTCAACCCCGCCTGCACTAGCTCACAATTGGAGGGGATTTTCTGTCTAATTTTCAGCCAATGAGGGGACTTCATGGTTCAAAATTTCATGGGAAAAACTGATGCCATTTTCAAATATGGAGCAAAGAAAGAGATGCCATTTTCAGCCCCTCCAAGGCATCTCCAACCCATGACACATTCGGCTCTGAGATCCGGCCAGTGAGGGGGGGGGTCTCCGCCCCCAAACATGGAAGAAACGTTATTTTCAACCGCTGACAAAACATCAACCTTGGAGAGGATTTTCAGTCCAGTTTTCAACCAATGTGGGGAACTCCTGGCTCAAATGGGGGGGAAAAGCAATGCCATTTTCAAACACAGATCACGTAACAAGACGCCATTTTCAACTCCTCCAAGGAGTCCCTGCCCTGCAACATGTTTAGCTCCAGGATCCGGCCAATGGGGGTGCCCCAAAACTGGGTAAAATCAATGCCATTTTCAATCCTAGATCATGGGGGAATAATGCCATTTTGGCCAATGAGGGGGATCATCAGCTGCAAAGTGGGATCAATCAATGCAATTCTCAACCCCAGCTCCCGGAATAAAATGCTGTTTCAACCCCTCCAAGATCTCTCCAACTAGGACACATTCGACTCCAAGATCCAGGCAATGAGGGGAATTTATAGCTTAAATGGGGAAAACCGATGCCATTTTCAAATATGGAGCAAGGAAAAAAAATGCTGTGTTCAACCCCTCCAAGATCTCTCCAGCCAATGAGGGGGGGTCCTCAGTCCTCCCAGGTCCCACCCCCAGCTTCAGCTCCCTCCACAACCAAAGAGGATTTTTAACCAGCAAAATTTAGCCTGGGAAGGAAATTCGCGGCCTCTCCCACGAGCGGAAATGTCCGTCTCCCAAAATTCAGCCAGTGGGGGAAGCTTGTGGCTCCTGAATCCCCTAAAAAGCCAACGAACCCTATGGGAGGGGGCGGGGCTTGCTTTTATTAACCCCTGTTCCACCAGCGCATTCAGATTACTCCCCCACACACACACTGATGGGAGGCCACATAATCCACCCTAATTGGGGGTGGGGCTTATGAGGGTGGGGGTGGGGCTACAGGGGTGGGGCTGGCCTTTTCAAGCCCACTGATGGCCTAAGGGGGGCGGAGCTTGCCAGCTAGGAGAGGCAGGGCTCCGGGTAGAAGGGGGGGCAGGGCTTGCTTCCCGTAACCCTTTCATGTCCAAAACCGGCAGCGGGGGGGTGGGACTTCAGCGAAAGGGGGTTGGAACTCTTAAACCAATAGCTCCCAAAGCAGGCAGATGGGGGCGGGGCCAGGCTGGGAGGGCAGGCTGCAGACAGGACAGGGGTGGAGCCTCACCCACAGCTCTTAACCCTTTCGTTCCCAGAGCGGGGGGCGGGTCTAGGCTGGGAGGGCAGGGCTTCAGCCAGGAGGGGGGGTACAGCCTCACCCCCAGACCTTAACCCTTTCACTCCCTGCTCTGCCAAAGCCAGGAGGGGGGCATGGCTCCCCCCAGCTGGCGGGGCTTACCAGGCACCCTCTTAACCCCCTCCCAGGGGCATGGGCAGGGCTTGCCAGCAGTGGGCGGGGCTCCACAGGGCAAGGCTGGTGGTCCTTAACCCTTTCAGGGCGCTCCAGCGCAGTCTCTCCGGCAGCGGGACAGGTGATGCAGATGGCTCGGGTTCAGGGTGAATTCACGGGGTTTTGGTTCCTTCACAGTGTTGGGTGGTTTTTTTTGTATTTTTTCTTGCTTTTTTTTTTTCTTTTTCTTTTTTTTCCCCTCGTTTTCTCTCTCTCTCTCTCACTCCGGCGCCGCGGGAGCAGGTCCCGGCTCCTCTTCCCCTCGCTCGCGCGCCTAAAGCCCTTGGATGGGGAGTCCCCGGCGCCGCTGCCACCCCTAGAGCCTCAGCAGCAGGGTCACAAAGGCCGACGCCAGCAGCCCCAAGACAATGGGAGACCCCAGGCCCAGCCCAGCCGCGCTCTCCAGGGCATCAGGGCCTGCAAAAGAGTTGGGGGGGCGGTGGTCAGGACACTTGGGTTGTTTCCTGGGTCTGGGAGAACAGAGGAAGGACGGGGCTGGGATGCCAGACGCCTGGGTCCTCCCCAGCGCTCGGAGGGGAGAGGGGTCTGGAAGTGAGAGCAGGGGGGCTGGGAGCCTGGACACCTGGGTTCTCTCCAGCTCTGAGAGGAGAGTGGGGTCCAGGGGCGGGAGCAAGGGGCGCTGAGAGCCCAGATGCCTGGGTCCTCCCCAGCTCAGGGGGTGGGGGGTGGCTGTAGGGTGAGAGCAGTGGGGGTTGGGAGCCCAGACGCCTGGGTCCTCCCAGCCCAGGGAGCAGGGCAGGGGCAGAGGGACGTACGGATGAGCCTCAGGCTGATGCTGGAGGTGCCCAGCTTGTTGGAGGCCAGGCAGGTGTAGTTGCCGTAGTGCCAGGCGCTGACGTTGGCGAAGTGCAGCATGGAGCGTGTGCGCTCATTGCGGATCTCCAGTCCCTCCAGGCGCCCAGTCAGCCTGCAGGGGCAGGAACCGTCAACCCACCCCCCATCAACCCAAACAACCCTCCATCCAATCGTCAGCACACCCCCAACCCTCAACCCAACCAACGCCCCCGCACCATCAACCCAATCAACCCTCCAC